AGCATCAACCAGACGGTGCTCTAAATGGGCAGAAGGTGTACTGTGGCTGGTTCTGTTGGCTTGCTGTGGATTTGGAGCTGGATTAACGTATCGTTTCGGTGCTTCATTCTACTTCTTGGTCATACCTTTGGTCATAGCTATAGTTGCATTAGTGGCTCTTTATGTCCGTCAAGTGAGCATTCTCCACTATTCCATAGTAATCATCATGTATTAGTTTGCTTTAGCACCAATAGATCTCAGCATCAGTATCTAATTGCCCCCACTACCTTCCTTTATTTAAAATCAATAACTCCGAAGCATTGATGAATTCAGATTGCTACTTATGTTATTTAATCCATTTGTGTTTTCTTATCCAGGTCTATTCACATCCTCCAGGGTTTTCCTGTCCAGCAGTCCCTTTCTTGCCAGCTCTCTGCATTTTTTTCAACATATTCTTGTTCGCTCAGGTTTGCCTCATTTTGCTTCAATCACATATTTCAAATGCCTTACAATAAAAAGAAATTAAAAAAAAAAAAGATCTGTTTACTTCAGTATTTCAATCTTGATAATATTAGAAATCTTGCTTTGCAGCTGCATTATGAAGCATGGGTGAGATTTGTGGTCTTTAGTCTCATTACAGTTGGCATATATGCTTTCTACGGCCAGTTTCATGCAAAACCAAGTTCAGATGAAACCATTGTCTACCATAGGACATCTCCTGAAAGTCCACATTTGAAGTAATTCCTTTGAAGGGCTAAACAAACTCATCTACATGACAGAGCATATTGTATTCTTTTGCCCTCAGATGCTGGTGCATGCTAACGCCTGTTGATTGTCAGAGAATATGCAGCTTGATTTCAGAAAATTTTGCTGGAATTAGGTGATATTGTTGAACAATTTTACATTTTTGTACATGCCCTTATAATTAATGGTTTCCCTCGAGGTATTTATTATTTCCACAGCTTCAAGATCCCAGACTGTGGATCATGTTTGAATTCATATGTTTGATATGGTCAGATTATTTTATAGGAGTCTTGAAATCAATCAAATCTTTGTCCCAAATTACATTCTAATCAGATATTGCTCTCTTGCACGCTCTAGATCTCTTCGTTCATTAAAGATCATTTATGTGACTTGGAATGCAAAACTTCGAAGTTGTATCCATTTTTTTTTTTAATTTAAAGCTATGATGACCTTCCGAAAAAATTGCAGGCAACACCAGAGTGAAATCCAATGATTCTCCACTGACTTGCATTCTTTTTAACATTCAGCAATTCCATGTCAACAACAAAAGCATATCAAATGAGTTACTCTACATTGTTGTTGAATGGTGATTTTGAATTTTTGCACCAGTACAAAATTTATGCCAAAATTGGCTTGTGTGGCTCATTGGAAACAATAACTTCAAATACTCAGCCATAATACTCCACAGAGAGCATAATACATCAGTAGCATCACTATCTCACATGATTCAATCCTAATTCCTACGGAGTTCTTGAAATCGACAATCTTTTAGTCCCTCCTCCAGAAAACCTGGAGCAAATTGAGAAATGTCCTAATGGAAAGTATACTTTTGAACCCAAGGACTGATTTGAAAGACAAATCGTATCCATGTCAACTTGCAACTTCAGCTTGGATATACCTCCCTACTTAATCACAGACTACATCGGAATAGAATCCTATGGTTCTCCTCTGACAATCTTTGATGCTCAGCAACTCCACGTCAAAAACCTCAAACTGTTTGGCACTGAAGAAAGTTGATGGTCCCACCTGCAAATTATATATGATATCATGATCTAAGGTTAAGCAGGATATATAAGGCCCCTAAACAGGCATATGAATTGACCTAACTCAAGAACTGTCCATAGTCCTACATATTATAGTTCGACACTTTGATCTATGTGTAAGTTTTACTCAATTAGCACCACTTTTCATGTCTCAAATAGCACAAAAGATGTGAATTGTAACAATGGATAGCTCGTATGACAAGTTTTACACCCACGAAATATTAATGTAAGTACGAAAGTAAGAGAGAGCAACTTCAAGCATTAATAAACTGACCGGTGGTCCAAGTTCTGGAGGAATGATTATTCTTCTTTTACCCCCAGGTTTCATGTCACGTATACCTTCCTCGAATCCTGTCTCAAAATCACTCTATTAGAATAGATTTCAGGATCTCATTACATCCAACATCTTCAAATTTCTCACCTGGCACCAGTGCCTTAGTGCCCATCCTAATTTTGGCAGGAGCACCCTGCAAGTATGTGCTGTCAATACGGCGACCTGATTCATTGTAGCCAATGTATTGGAAAATGATCTGCATACAATATGAGGTATTCAGAGATCAGGCTTAATCCACCAAGAGATATAGTTCTTTCTCAACTCTAACAGATACAACAGAGAAAACCAGAAATCGAGTATCTTTTGGTGTACATCTTCCACCGAGAAAAATTCTAGGGAAACTTCAGTTAGTATCCATGTAATTTGAAGTACCTTATGATTACTTTGACTAATCTAATTTAGTGTCAAGGTGACTGTTCTAGTTTAGTTATAACTGCCAACGTTCTGCATATGCACAAATCAAGGAGATAAGGTGTAAGGAACAATTTAACCCTCAGGACACAAGAAACAAAAACCTGCTGGCCATCTTTCGGGCAATCACCTTTACCGACTTCAAAATCTCGGTATATGAGTCCAGAATCACGCTTTATATAATTGTCAGATGCCACCACCTTAACCTCAAAACCTGAAGAAAATACAATAGACAATATTGAAACAAGACATGGCTGCATCTGAATCATATATATGTTCCAAGAATGTTGGTGCAAAGCAAACCTTCTCTGATAAAACTTGGAAAGTCATCAGGAGCATTGTTTTCTCTTTGTATCCGCTTATTCTGCTCTAGCAAGCGCCTTTCATCATATGGATTCTTAGTCTTTGTTTTACCATAAGAATATAAAGTTGGAAAAGAACTAGATGTCACAAACATGACAAGCATCATCCTTCTCAACGTTTTCTCTTCCGACAGCACTTTACTGTCATTCTGTTCACTGCATAACCATTTAGCAACCAATGAAGAAGTGGAATACAGAAATAGAGATTCATACTTTCAACACATTTTCTTTCTTTTAGACTAATAGTTGGACTTAAAGAAGATGCTTGCAAAGGCACCAGCAATAACATGAGCAGGATTTCAACAAGAGCACCAGCATAGAGCAGATGTAAGTGAAACATTTAATTTACCACTTACCTATTTTGCTCTAAACTACAACTTGGTTTGCTTGGATGGCAGCAAGATATTTGCTTTCTCGAGAAAAAAGAGTGCTTGAGTGTAGGGCAATATGATGGCACATTATCTGCAAGTCGAATTTGCAAAGTAATGAGAAACTCACAGTGCCCCCTTTGATGATTGAAATACACTAATCACCAATTTCTTATACCCTCTAGGCCTCTACATTCACTAAAACAACTAACACTTCATCCTGTCACTCCAACTGCATTTTCAAAGAATGGTGACATGTGACAAGCTTTTGCACTTGCATCAAAGTCCATGTAATACATATTACCTCCGTCTGAATTTAGTAGTCACTACCCGTCAAATTACACTATCAACGTGACAATAATCAATTCCGGCCCGAGGAAATTACAATAATTTAACAATTCACCAATAACCCCCCCCCCCCACCACGTTGATCTTCTCCTATTTGGCAACTTCAAAGTTTCCAATCCAAGACAAATTAAGCTGGGTAATGGGTATAATAAGTTGAAGCATATACAAATTACAAACTACAGAATTTGAAGGAAAAAAAAAAATTCACAATGTAACCATTGAATTGCAAATATTCAAACATTATGTATTTATATTGAAACATAAAGTTAACAAAAGTTGATGCATTCTATGAATAGGTAAACTGTGGCAAAAGGCTGTGAAATGCACAAACAAAATTAAACTAACAACTAGGAATTTTGTGCTTCACATGATTATAGAACTCATAGAAATTGCATACCCAAAAAAAAAGAATACAGAAATTGAACAGAGACAGGGGAAGAGAAAGACTTACAAGAGAACAATGGTTTGGATTGAAGGGAAGAAGGTGATGAGAAAATAATCATGGCTTTTAAACCAAGAATTTCTGTTAATATTCTGGGGAAATCTGCTGACAGCAGTTTGCTCTTGTTATCTTCATTCAGATCATTTTTTCTCAGGTAAGCCCTCCAGCTATTGTGTATTTACACTCCGCACCCTCCATTTATTTTACTTACACCTTTTTTTCCTAATTAAAAGTCTCATTTCTTCCGAAAAATCTCATTTAACCTCTATCTTGCTTCATATTACTTGATACAATTTTAATCAATCAGACCTTATGAGTTATTTTTGATCACCATTAATCATCTAAATCCCGTATTCTGTTTATTATATTCACTTTTAATCAACCAAACTCCACTATCTTACTTTGTTAATTCAACCACTAAAACAAAAGGTAAACAAAACTTATATTAGTGGATTGATGGAGTATCCAGTTTTAAGTCACCTATAAAGAAGACATTAAAACGCACCGTACCATTATAAATTTATAAGTATTCCAAATTTACAGAGGCATTTTGTTATGTTGTAGCCTCTTACCTCTATTGTCTCGGATAGAGCATGTTAGGTTGTGTCAATTCTCATATTATTTTAAATAAACTTTTGTAGATCCTGCACAATTGCACATGCATGAAACACATTTTTGCCCCCTTAATTCCTTTATTTTCCTCCCTATAAAGACTCCCTAACCTACGTCATTAGTGTATCATTCTTACTCCTTGTAAATTAAGCAACCTCGAACATGATGTAACTAGCAGCTATCTATTAAGCCGCCTCATTTGCTTCTCTAAAAATATGATAAAAACTACTCCGTAATCAGAACACAAGAATTATTAAATTTTGGATACACAAATTTAATAATCAATATTACGAATTTAGGCCGAGTCAAAAACCAGTTATTAGAATAAATAATACTTTTTTTTTTTTTTTTTTTGAGGAAAAGAATAAATAATACTTCGTACTTGGTAAATAATAACATTCTACTAACTAGTTTTTTCCTAGAGAAAAAAAAATAAAAAAAAATAAAAAAATACTTGTAGTTTAGGGCAAGAAAGAAGAAAATCGGGAATTAGAATTTGGAAGACTAAAATTGGATCAAATTGAGAGCGAGAGAAAAGATGGCCCAGCCAAGCAAAGAGCCATGCAAGAAACAAGCCTGTGACATTCAATCTTGTTTATCCAAGAACAATTTCAATCCTAAAAATTGTATTGATGTCATTCTAAAGCTTCAGAAATGCTGTGAAAATTGCAATTATGATTCTACCCATTGTGCTTCTCTCTCTGGTCTTCTCAAGCAACATGCCAAGCCTTCTAAATAAAGGGTATGCCTTTATTTTATTTTATTTTATTTTTTAAAAAAAAAATTTAGTTATTTTATTTTTGCTGATTTTTCTGTGTAAAAGTTTTAAATTTGTTGAATTGTTTGAGGGTTATGGTTGATTTTGTGGGTTTGATTGAGTTTCTTTGATGATTATGTTAATACCCATTTGATGCTTCTGATGAAAGTTATTGAATTTCTGTGTTTTTGTTGATTTGGTGAGTTGATATTATGTGATTGTCTTATTTTTGAATCTTGCTGTCTAATTGAAATTAATCTAAGCTGCATGTGCAATTGCTTTGGTGGGTGTAATTAGAGGAGGAATTAGGATTGTATTCTCCCTTGTTTTGATCCTAGAAGTATATTGAAGCCGGAAGGGCCATAGGGTAGATAAGTTCTGGCTAAGATGATCCGTGTTATCGGGTGCTTGTAAAGTCGTAGAGATTTGGCTAATGCTTTGATATTGATCTTAGAGATACCAATATTTTAAGGAGATGGACAATGTTGTAAGCTGTTTGAAACATTGAATTATATACAATTTAATTGAGAAAAAGAAGCATAGTGGAGTGTTGTAAGCTGGAGAATTACTATAAAGTAATGAGAGATTGAGACTGATATGTTGTTAAGGCTCCTTATCCTATGATATGGCGAAGAAAGAGATTAAGGACATCATGGATGAGAGCAATATGGGCAGTTCAGTTACAACTGTCATGGAGAATTTTATGTTTATTAATTGTCGAAAAGAGCTCTGGCTAGATCTTTGATTCAAGAGGGAGGAGTCTCATCTTAGGGCCCCCTTTTTTGTGTTCCAAAAGCTCCTTAAGGGGAAAATACAGTGAGGTTGTTTTCATCTTTCCATCATGAAAGTGTGGAATCTCAAATCAGAAAGGCATGAAGCAGTTAATATCTTAGAAAACGAGGTTCATCTTAGCAAGAAGTGATGAACCTCCAAAAAGTGATGCTCATCTAATCTCCAATTAATATGCTTGCTTAGGGTCTGGAATCACAAATCAGTATCATTAATTGATACAAAATTAGGTGTCAAATTGATACTGTGTCATGTCATGTGTCTGGGAGGTTATAGCATGAAGGTGGCTAGTGATATTGGTAATTCTACCTCCTCTCAGCTTTTATTGAGGTTTTCCTCAGCTACCAAGCGTTGCAGAAAGCTCTGACAATCTCACTACCTTACTAGGGTCCATGTATCTAGGTTTTACTACGCCTCAGCCAAATAATTTGAGGGAGTTTCAGTCTAATACGAAGTATAAGGAATGTGTTAGTGTATTCTCTCTCAGTTGAGCATCTGTGCAACCAATAGCTGTAGTGTTTTCTACTTGTTCCATTGCCCCTAAGTGTCAGAGAAGAAAGGTAAATCTCTTGGTATGTGTAGCATGTGTGGATAGTCTAAGCCTATTAGTAATTTATTTCAATCGAATCTAAGGCCTATTACATACTTATAACTTTATTTCAATCAAAGCTGAAGCCTTTTGGCAGTTGTCAATTATAAAAACTCTCGGTGCTTGATCTTCAGTGTCAGCTAGTTAGCAAATTAGCTGTTATGACTCAAGAGCATGTTCTTTAAATTGGGGATAGCATTATTATGGGTGACTTGTTATAAGTTTTGTTGCGACTTGCAAGAGTGGTGTTATTGTCATGTATGTTTGTCAAGAGAGGAAGGGTTATGGTGGGTCATTTGATGTGTATGTATGTGGTATTTTACTAAGTATCTTTCTAATACCAAATTTCTTCTATATCCTACTGTGAATCTGTGATTGAGTATGTTGATGCATGTGTTTGTTATGCTTTCTCATGTTGACTGTGCATAATTTGTGGAATCTCTTTGAACTGCAGTGAATCATGCAGACGAGCAGAATGCAAGTTAGCAAAAGATTTACAAGACACTTGAAGTCATAGTATAGGTTTTTTTTTTTTTTTTTTTTTTGACGACATAGTATAGTTCACAATACTGAATATCATCTAATAGATACTCTGTATATCAATATGAAGCCAGTAAAGTTTGCAGCCTTGACGAACATCATTGAGCTTTTTCACTGATGCTGCTTGGAAGGCTTCTGCAGTTAGTGTTGTATTTAGACAATTTCTTGTCAGCTGCCAGAAAGATCAGTTTTAGGAGAAAGATAACCAGATAAGAACTTTGAGTGACAACTCTGTCCCTCTTAATCAGAATTTTTTCTACTGCCATTTAATTTTGGTCTAACTCTACAATTAATTTATTTCTTGATAAGTTTTGATGATAGCCGTTATTAGTAAGTTAGTTCTCCGTAATACTAGTGGTAATTTAAACGGTAATTTATAAAGTATGATAAAGTGGAACGCGCCGTGTGACACTAGTTTTAAGAAAAAGAAAGACTTTGACGTTATATATGGGTATGTGAAGTTGACTACGTAATCATCTTAACAAACTCATGCCCAACAAAACAAATTTGTTTCCTACATGTGTTATTCGTTCTTTTTTTTTTTTTTTTTTTTTTTTTTTTTTTTTTTTTTTTTGGGGATTTTATTTTAAAGTACTAACCTTTTTTCAAAATTGTTTTATGATTTGTTATTTTTATTTTTTGATTTTTTTAAATCTAAACTTTTCTTTTTAAATTCAAAAACTTTTATTCCTTTTTTTCCTCTATTTCTAAATTATAATCAAATATATTGTAATTTTGGTTGTGAGAGAGGGATAATTTGGTCCAATAAATTTATGTACCAAAATTTCCCTTCTCTTTAAAAAGGTATATAAATCTGGCGATTTGGGGTGATTGAAAATTGAGGTTAATGTTGAAATCTATGTTATAATTGTAGAGTAAGTTGATGAGGTTTCTCCAAAAACCTCAATCCTAATAACTTTCACTTCTACTATTTTTATTATTTTTCCTAATAACACACATACTTTCCATTTTAATTAATATTACAAAAAATAAAAAAAAAATAAAAAAAAATACACAAAAAATTACCTATTTTATTAATATTTTTCTCATTTAGCTTCTTATATATAGCCCTTACGGTTACATATAGCATTTTCCTTTATTATATCATCCAATAAAATTCATTTCAGAAACCCCAATAATACAAGGAATCTATATTACTATTGCACATTTTTTTCCTAACTTTTCCACAAGACACTTGAAAATCAATCTTTTTATATATATTTTTTTAATTTTAGGAAACGTTAGGGCGCACAACACTTGAAAATAAATCTTGAAAATCAATATTTAAATTATGTGTACTTCATTTTTTTTTAAAAAAAAAAATATAACCACCATATGGTCCACTATTTTCAATCATAATTGTTTTTCTTTTATATTTTTAAAAATCACTCAATAACCACCTTTTTATTAATCTAATAAGTATCAAAACAAAAATAACATGTTTTCTACGCGTGGCCGATTGATACACAAAAAACACTAACTAGGTAACCCGTGTTGGAGTAAACTCTGACTGATTAATCTCTGCCGACCAAGTAACCCTTAATCGATTTAGTATCTCCTCACCGATTAACCCTTGACTGACCGAGTAGCCCTAACCGAGTAGCTCCCGATCGAGTAATCTTTGACAGATCGAGTAACCCCTAAACAAATAACCCAGCCACATATAAAACTTTGTGAAACATAAAATTTATACATTATGTTTTTTATGTGACTAGCCACAACGTATGACTACTTGCAAAAGAACAAAGTAACCTTTACAACATGACTAATATATCAAATAATCGTTCAATAACTACCTTATTATTAATTCAATAATCATCGACACAAAATGAATAATATATCAAAGTGTCGCCGGATTATTAGAATGAATGATGTGACACAAAATGAATAATATAACTACCTTATTAGAATGAATGATGTGACAATCTCTTTTAAAATGTCATGTGTTGCTCCTTTCATCGTACGTGGATTAGGGTGGTAAACAAGAGTTTTACTTGTTTGGTCATTTGCTAGGCCCATTTAGAAAATTACCAAAAAACACATTGAAGATTCTTTAGGTAATTTCACGTGCCTCCACAAGATGAAAGGAGCAACACATGACATTTTAGGGTCTTAGATGACACATAACTTGCGTTATATGGGGCTAGAAAATCAAATGGGGTCTTCTTAATGCAACCGTAAACGTAGAGCAAAAAAATTTATCAAAAATGAGATGAGACCGAATGAGTTGGCCTTTTGAACGACCAAAATTGAAATCTATTCACGATTATTCTTTTTTTCATGACAAATGATTAAGAATTTGCATTGTGTTGCTTCGCCTTAATTTTTGTAACAATCCTTAAAATATAATTTTTGTAACAATCCTTAAAATATATTTCATGACAAATGATAGCCAATTCTTTGGCAGCCAAACTTCCAACAATCATCAAACCAAAAAAATTCCTCTTTATTTGGTAACTCTAACATACGCCATCTTCGAAACCAATCACACGCCTAGCTTAGGGTCAAACCCAACAAATTACATCACTAAATTTCATTATCAAGAACTATGTTTATATGTCATAATTTGCTACAATGTCAACAAGTTAACATTGTCCGTCACATATTTTTATACATTTTTTTAACTAAAGTCGTACCATTATCATACACATATATATGCACTTACATGCTATAAATTATACTCCTCACTTGATCAAATAGATATTCTTTGCTTCTTCTAAACCTTACAATCCAACTTAAAGCATGAAGATTAGAAGAGGGTAAGTTAGCCATGTTGGAGAAGCAGGGCACATGCTTAATATATTGTGTTTCAACACTTATATTCGATCACGAAGAAATATGTAGGCTTGTGCCAAGCTTCTCCACTCGGTATCTTGCCCTTGGTGATCATTAGCCAGATTGTGCAAAACTATCCGAAAAATTATATAGCCAATCTGCATTCAGATCCAAATTTTGGATTGGATTATGGATACTAGATTCATATTCAATGTGCTATACTATGAATATGGGATACATACTATTATACTGACTTGTTGATCTTGTAGTCATTAACTCATAGTAGCATTAATTTCGTACTTGGTAAATTACAGAAAGAAAATCCTTGAAGGTGTTCATAAGCGCTTGGTCACCCCTTGATTGGAGTCTTGTATTTTTTTTAACATGTTAATTAGTGAAGGAAACTTCATTTGGAATTAGAAAAGTTTAAGTTTATAAAATGTAAAGCATTTGTGCTCCAGATAAAACTGATTTTAATTTCATAGAATAAAAAATTAGAATATTTACAAAATTAAACTAGTAATTGTCGTAAATTAAAAATATGATGTATCTAATGTAGGGGTTATTTTTTGAGAATCATCCCAATTAGGCCGATCATGAGTGATAATATGAGTAGTAGTCAAAGCAGGGATGCAGGATGATGGTGATTATTTGGCACTAACATATTGATGATAACACTTTTTTCTATGTGACACAAATTTATTTTTAGGTGTTGACAAATACAGAAAAGAAACAAGTGTAAAAATTGAAAAGACAATAATAAAAATAACTTTTACCCAATTAATTTTCATATATGTGTTTGCTTTTTCTCTTCTACATTTAGCTTTAGCTGCTATATTATTTTATCAGTGAATTAAGACCAAAACATACTGTAAATTACATCAAAGGAATTACTTCGTAGCTGCCATATAATGAAGTTACATAGTGAAATGTAACAATAATACATATTTTTCACATGTGATCTGATCAGTATAGTGCAAGAAGAGTGCAAAAACATAGAAATGAAAAGGGATTTAATCAAACTTTAAGTTTGATACAAAGATTTTTTATGTTGTCTGCTTGAGACACCCCTTGGAGCAACTTTTTGTTGTCTAATTTGCTGCTTAAACTTGGCAATGAACTCGTCGGCCTTCCTATCAATTTCGCTGTCATTTTCCTCGTCCTTAACTCTATCATTAAGAACAGCAGCCTTACCATTTGAGTTCAGTCCCACAACTATAGAGGTTCCACCATTTCCTTGAAGCTTTTCCCCCTTTTGACCATTAGAATTCGATTTCTTTTCACTAATTCCAATTTGTATGACCATCATTTCCGACTTCTTTCCTTTTCTATCTCCTGCATTCTTCACTGACAGTCCTTCATTATTCTCTTCGAGTCTCAGTTCAATGAGATCAGTCTTTTGCAGATCTTGAGTAATTGCTTTTGGCCTAACTGTTCTTACAGATTTTCCCTTCAAAGATGCCTTATTCATAGCTGGTTTAACATTTAAGCAATCCCAACCACACTTGCCTCCTCTTGCAAACTGATGCTCTTCCTCAGTTTTCTTGCTCGCTTCCTTTGCCTCACCCTTGAAGCTCTTCCTTAAATCCCTATCAAAGAAGGAGCCACAACTAAACCTTCGTGAATGGGAGGCCCTCGATAGTGTTTTACTTCTCTCAGGTGTCGGAGGTGATCTTTGATCATGATCATCCTTGCTAAGAAATGATCGATTTACAAGGGCTCTAGAGCTCGGTTCAACAGATGATGCTACTTGATCGATTCTTTGTGTTTGAACTTGTAGTGGTGGAGAAAGTGTGGAAGGCTTGTAAGGATTGTTCTCTCCAAGAACATTTTCTACAACGTTTTCTATCTCTGAATTGCTCCTTGGTGCACTCCATGGGATATTTTCTTCCACTTCATTCTGCTGTAATTCTTGCTCATCTTGACAAGACATTCGACTACATGATCCTGCTGAAGACAATGCTTCTGATTCTGAAGAAACCGCGAGTGAGGCAGAGAGACTCTTTCGCAAATAGTCCTGCATATCATTTATTTCTGATGATGGTATCTCAAAACAATCACTGTCCCACCTCTCGGGAATGGTTTTTTGCTTATTCTTCTTTGGAGAAACATCAACCCTTGTCGGGGAAGAAATTGGATCACCAAAGTTAGGGGTATGAGAATCTTTTTCCTTATCAGTACTTCCTACGCTATCCGTTTCTGATATCTCCTCTTCCTTTTTAACTGAAGCCTCATGGTTGAACTTGGCATCCTTTGATGCTTTAACCGATGAGGCAAACTCATTACCAGGGGATGGTCCTGAAGGCAGCACTTCTGATGTCTTCATGAAAAAGTTCGGTTTTTCACTACCCAAATTTACAGTCTCTGGCTTTGTGAATTTACCACCTGAAAGTGGAACATCACAATGAGAGGTATAAGAATTATTCCCTTCCTGAACACTTCCCACAGCCACTTTGTTATTTTCTGTTCTCTTCTCCTCCCAATTCTTGAGTGAAGAGTCTGAAGACCCATGATTGAATTTTGCACTGTTTGTTGCTTTCACTGAAGGAGGAAAGCCATCTGCTGAATTGGGCATTGAAGGCGAAAATACAGATGAAGCCGTAAAAATGCTGGCACTTTCCCCACCCAAAGCCGCATTGTCGTTTTCTGTCCTTATTTCATCCTTTTTCTTGAAAGAAGACCCATGATTAAATTTTGCATTTTTAGATGATGCAGAATCAGCAGCAGAAGCAAGCAATGAAGGCAAAAATGCAGCTGATGGCTCAAAAATGTTGGTTTTTTCCCCACCCAAAACCACATTGTTGTTTTCTGTTCTGATCTCATCCTTTTTCTTGAAAGAAGACCCGTGATTAAAGTTTGCACTCTTTGATGATGCAAAATCAGCAGCAAAAGCAGGCATTGAAGGCAAAAATGCTGCTGAAGGCTTGACAATGTTGGTGTTTTGCCCACCCAAATCCACATTGTTGTTTTCTGACATTGTATCATCCTTTTTCTTGAAAGAAGACCCATGATTAAAGCTTGCATTCTTTGATGATGCAAAATTAGCAGCAGAAGCCGGCATTGAAGGCGAAAATGCAGCTGAAGGCTCGAAAATGTCTGTGTTTTCCCTACCGAAAACCACATTGATGTTTTCTGACCTTGTCTCATCCTTTTTCTTGAAAGAAGGCCCATGATTAAGAAAATCAGCAGCAGAAGCAGTCATTGAAGTCGAATATGCAACAGAAGGCTCGAAAATGTTGGTGTTTTCCCCACCCATAACCACACTGTTGTTTTCATATCTTATCTCATCCATTTTCTTGAGGGGTGGCCCATGATTGAAATCTGCTATCTTTGATGTTTTAAATGGTGAAGCAAAAGCATCATCATAAGCAGGCATTGATGGAAATGCAGCCGATGGCATGAAATTATTGGTGTTTCCCCCACCACCGGAAGTTCCATTTTGCAAGATTGGTGCTCTGCTCCAATTTTCAGGCTCATGATTGTATCTTCCATACATTGAAGCTAAATCACTACCAGGAATTGATATTGGAGAACAAACTGCTGGCGAAGGCATGAAAAACCCAGCATTTTCCTCACCAATACTTCCGCTCTCAAAGTTTGGATTAACCCAATGCTGATTTTCATGATTGTATTTTCTGTAGCCTGATGCAAAATCACTAGCAGAAAATGGCACTGATGGGGGGACAGCAGCAGCTGAGGGCATGAAAAAATTGGTAGAATTTTCTAAATTTGGTGATACACCCACCAAATTAAAATCATTAACTTGATTATAATTTGAAAAGGGCATGTAAAACTGATTTCCCCTCCATGTATTCTCACCTCCCATATTAGGGGACTCCGGCAACCAAGAACAGAATCCAGTAAATTTCTGACATGATGATGCTTCTGGTGCTGCTGACCTAAAAGACTCAGCTTTTAACTGCTTGGCTTTAAGACTACCACTCTCTTCGTTGGAAAAATCCGCCCTCATGGACCGCGATTTACCCATAACAGTAGGTCTTGTATCAGACGGTCTGACGATTCCCACATTTCCCTCCAAACTCTTATTTTTCTCACTTTTTGATACACTATAACTAGAGCTATTACCACTCAGAACAGAATCACTTTCACTAGCACACTCTTCTTCTTCACTGTCACTATCCACAACTCTTGACCTTAAACTTCTAACTGGCAAACCCAATGGCCTCTCATCAAAAAACTTTATATTCTCTCTCCTTGAATCCGCTAACGGTTCTGCCTTATAGTGTGAAAGATTAAAACTTTGAGTTGGGATTACATTTTTATCAAAAACCCCAGATGGGTTACCTTCCTCATAGTCAAAAATTGAAGAATGGTGAAGTATATTAGGAGCAAATGGTTGAGTAATCTGGGTTTTAGGAGGAATTTGCGCCGGTTTTCGACGACAAAATAAGCCATAAGACAATGCAATACCAATAATGAGAAGATGAATGAGCTCCCAAGATTTAGCAAAAACAGTATGGCTAATAAACTCAGGAGGATCAGAAGGAAACAGAGGAACTAAAGAAAGTAACAGAGCAATGAACAGAAACTTCAGGAAGAAATGTGAGCAAGATTTACCTTTATAACTGGGATTTAATTGAAATTCAGCATTGTAATGTTGTTGAACAAAATGGGGTTTTGTGAAATTTCTTGCATCTTCTTCCATCTAATGTAATTTCAATTAATTACAAGCTAAAATCTTCTCTGTTTTTCTTTCCTCTTTTTTTTGGGAAGAGAATTAGGGTAAGATAGTGTTGAAATGAGTGAGGAGAGAGAAAGAAGAAGAAGGGAGAGTTGAAAAAATGGTAGAAAATGAAGAAAGAGAAGAATGATTGAGTAGAAAGGGCCGGATAAACAGGAAAAAAAACAGTGTGTATGTATGTGTGTTTGAAAAGGGGTGAAAAAAGGGTAAGAATTTGTGAGTGACATTATCTTTTTGCCGTTGATTTATGATTGTTGATACCACTTTTGGGGATTATACAATATTGTAATGCAAAATGTTTTTTCTTGCCTTTTGAATATACCTGGGGTGTGTGTTTTTATGGTGAGATTTGCTACAAAATGGTGGAAAAAAGTGTCTTGGGATTCGGGTCAGAGGATATTGCTTTCGGTATATACTCTATTTTCTCTCTAATTCTATGGTAATTACTACTATGTGTGAAGATGGTGTGTTTTTTGGATAATGCATATTGCAAAAATTATGAGATTTATATCGGAACTTATTTGAACTTAATTAGCTAAGCATGTTTTCTACTGTATGAGATAATTTATGGCACTTGGTTAATTTCGAATGATTGAAATCAGAAATCTGATAAAAACCAAACAGAACGAAATAACACACCTAATGAGAAAGAAATTTCATGCATTACATACTTGTAGACATTCGCGTACATCAAGTCTGTCACAAAGTACTCTCATTGAGAGCCCCATTAGGTATCGCTCTAACATCTTTGGTAAATTACTCTCACTTCTCACTAAACACACTTTTTCCCTCTCTATAACTCGCTCATAGTTTGATACTGATTTTAGCATGAAGGAGGTTTTCTTGGTATGTTATAGAGCATAAGACGCCTGATTCTTCCAAAATCTACATCCAAAACATAATATAACTTGTGTAATAAATTAGATGAACAAAGATATACTCGTATTGTACCGAAAAATTATTGAGAGCACCTAACACAACTTATTAAGGCAGTATTATAACAATTTTTTTTTGTTTGTACGTGTGGGACACAATCAAAAGACTTGTTGAATCTAATAGTCTTTTTTTCATTAAGAGTTTAATTTTGATTTATTTTTTTTGTTTTGTTTTGTGACAAGGATTTTGAAATGTAATTAAATATAATTAACCTTGATTCTTTGATTAGATCTCATTAACATACAATATGTATAGAGAAAATGATGGCTAGGCAATCTCCTCGATCTACAATTTTTATTAATCGACAGTTTTATTACTCCATATTAGATCAGAAAAACTATACTGATTACAAGTATTATTTATATGATCGAATATACATTATATAATCCAATCGAGAATAAAGAGTACTCCATACAAAATACTCCGTATGTCACTCCAAAGTCTCCAATACTATCTAAGCTCTACTCTATAATCCATATTTCCTAAATTTAGCCAAACGAGCACAATTAGGATCATTGTGGACGCTTACCAAAGTAATTAAGAAACTGGAAACTTGGAAGTGAAGTGAAAGTACTCATACTTTTAAGGAGGTAGAAAAGAGAGGGAAAAATAATATGGCAGGCCATGAAGATTGCATCGAAGCTGAGAATGCAGAAGCCATCATCACTCGAATCGAGCACAAATCTCGCAAGATCGAAAGCTTACTCAAACAGTATACCAATTCTCTCTCTTTTTCACTCTCCTTTCTCAACATTTCAGTCTGTTTTTGATCAAATTTCATTTCTAATTCTGGGTTTGAAAATTTGAAAAACAATAAGGTATAAACCAGTCGAAGCTCTTAAAACTGCGCTTGAAGGTTCATCTGCCATTACTAAAGATGATCGCTGCAAGGTTATTTTTCACATTTTGCTTTTAATTTCATAATTTGATTATTGTTGAAAATTCTAGGGTTTGTGATATTGGATTTGAATTTTGATTTGATGGGGATTTTTTGCTATTAATATACAGTCGGCGAATTGGATAGCGGTTCATCGGGCGATAATGGCGATTAAAGATGTTGATGGGATGCTGGCTTCTTTAGATTCTGAGTATTATGACATTCTCATGAAGTATGTAACTTTCATTTTGATCTTGGGTTTCAATTTTTTTCATGATTTGTTGGTTTTTATCAGTTCTTTGATAAGTGAATTTATGCATATAGAATTGTTGGTCAAAAGATGATTTTATATATATATATATATATATATATATATATATATATATATATATATATATATATATATATATATATATATATATACCAAAATGCTGGTTCTGAAAGCACTTAAATGGGCTGTTGTTGAAAAGATTAGATATTTTGTGCAATTGAACTTTTAGGTTTAGATGGAGGAACTCTATGTGCATTTCTGGGATGATTGGAAGGTGATTTTGGTTATCTCATGTCCCTGTTTCGTACCCAGTGTATGGAAGGGCTTTCAAAGTTATATTGAAACCAATTGCAGATTTGGATGTTGTCTAATGGATATGCACTAGAAGAGTTTTGTAAAGTAGTTTTCTTTTCTCTTACTAGATGAACTTGATCAATTTGTTGTAAAATCTTTTGCAATGGGTAGGCAGTTGCATGAACATAATATAGTATCGCATAGATGCGCTCATGATTAAAAGGTGATTTGTGGTTCAATATTCTTTTCGAGGGATTATGTTTATATACATGTACATCTTATCTTGTGATACCGTGCTGGATGGAGAGCAAGGGTGGTGAAACCCTTTGCTATAGAAATTTGTGATGTGTTGGGGATCTCATTCTCCCCTATGTCGATTAGGAAAATTGTAACAGAAGCATGCTGAAATGCACTCCTCTTTTCTGAATTTGATCATAATTAGATCCATGATTCTTTTATGTATGCGGTATTGCCTTAATTGAAGTTTGATGCCTGAGGATAACAGTAGATCTGAAGCATGGGTTTGTAATAGCTTACTCTTGGAATAACAGTTTAGTACCTGCAATCATTAATGATAAGGTTGTAATGAGGAAGAAAAAGGAGGCCCTAATATATGATTGCATACCAGCAAGGTAGTACCCTAGTTGTGGGAGAACATTGATACTTACAAGAACATGGCAGGAATAGTACATGGTAGGAATGGTTATAATCTGATATTGCATATAATTTGCAGGCTTTTCAAGGTTTTCTTTTAGAATGTTGTGTTTGCAAATTCCTCAATTTCTTCTTTGGTATTGGGTTTCTTTTTTTCCTATCACTGGATGACTCATTGAGAATAAGTGGTTTTGAAAAGTTAGGAATTGGAAGTCTCTAAATGCTCTAACCCCCATTGCACATTATCCACGTAAGATGGGACATTTGATAGATAACATATTAGGTTCTTTACCTTCAATTATCATTTTATAGTCAAATAAAGCACAAAGGAATTAAGTCACTAATTGACTTTTGACTTTGTAGTCTTGAGCTCCATGGTTTGAAGTAACTCAATAATTTGTTCTTCCTTGGAATTCTAGGTACTTATACAGAGGTTTGTCAACTGGAGATCGCCCAACATGTGAACGGTGCCTCAGAATACATGATAAGCTGACTCAGAGAGCTGGTCTAGGATGCATACTTCGTTGTCTTGCTGATACAGCGAATACAGTGTGATCCAACTTAAGATAAATTCGCAAGACTCACAAGCAGACTTTCTGATTGAAATGGTCTTACACCTACCCTTGTGCATCTCTTTCTTGGAATATAGATATGCAGAATTGTTAAGATATGTACATAAGCAAATGTCCTTTACTCTTTTTCTGGCAGTATTCTGTCTCACCCCTGTGGAACTCAAATATTCTAAGCTCTATTCATTATATCAAAGAATACATATCTTTAGAAAAATGATTCAGATCATCATATTCGTCGAATGTCATTTCATGTAGAGATTTGTTCTTTATATGACTGACTCACATCTTCTATATGTATAGAGGAGATGTGCTCTGTGGTGTTGAGAGTTTAAGATCATGCAGAGAAGAAATGGAGTCTTTGAGTTATTGTTTGGTTTCAGGACAAGAATTTTATAACATCATCTGCTATAGAATAAGAATTCTGTAGCATAAACCTGAGTATAATCTTCATTGACCCAATCTCTGTTTTTTTTCAGTCACTGTTTGGTTTCAGTATACGAAACCTACAGCGTTATTGGTGCACTTAGGCTTTGTTCTTTCCACTGTAGAAAACAAACTTAAGAAAACAAGACTTCAGATAGGGGCCAATAAGGTCTAATTATAGCTTCTCAAGATGAATTCACAACCAAGTATAGAAACGTTCAAATTAAGGACTCGTGTCTGAGAAGTTTAGATGGGTGAAAACGGAAGCTTTTGTATTCAGTCCAGTTGTCTAATTATGACCGATTGGCATCTACCAGTGAAGAGCGTTTGTTTTAATTATATAATGATTATGTGGATGTCAATTAGTTTAGCCAATTAAGTTTCTGAGAGGAATTGAAAACCTCAGATTGATTAATCATCATTATCTGCAAAACCAGATATTGACTTATTTATTTCCCACATGTACGTGTTTTTTAAACATACTGTTGAACTGTGAGCATGTCAATGCGACATGCCCCAACACAGCTATCATTATCAGGTGATAAATCCAAACAAGAATACAAGGCAAACAGAAAATATTGCTGCATGAATCAGACAATATATAATATGCTTCCATATCATTGTATACATCATTATGTCATTAAAAGCTGAACTAAGAAAGTTGTTCTCCTTCAAACTAACTACCTTCCAACTAACCTCAAATATCCGAATTTATCATGCTTTTATAACATCATTAAATTTCATAAGTTTCAACACTTAAGTCAACTTTGACCTTGAGTAAATGTATTGTTTAGCCAGCTGCTACATTAGAACTTCTAAACCAAACTAAAACTACGAATTACTGTCATACTATGATCAAGGCTTAGAGGATTCGATCACTTGATTGTTGTTAATTGTAAATGAGAGCTTCTGTATGCTAAGCGGTGTATGCTGGTGGAAGACACCCATCAGAGAGCGCCCTGTTTCAACAGCCGGAGTTCTGGTTGTGGCGGAAGAAGAAGAGAATGACACATTTTTGCATGAAGGGCACATTGTGAGGGTTGTAGGAGGGTGGTTTGCATCCATCGTAGAATTTTCAGGAGAGAATTTCAAAGCCCTTAGCTCATGCACCTCCTTTTGTAGCCTCTTATTCTCTTCAGTTAAAGTCTCACAATACTTCTTTAGTTGCTCACAATCCAACTCTGTTTGCTTAAACTTTGTCCTGAATATATAAAAAAGAATTCGGAAAATACAGCAATATTAGTCGTTAACAAAATAACAACTTAACAATCATCGAGAAAAATCCATAAAATAGTTACGTGCCAAAACAGTATATGTAAGGGTTAAGTATAAGAAACTAAAGATTAAATCATTAAATAATAATTACTAAACTTAATTAATAGTATTGATCGACATTTGTCATGAATGTCTTTGATTCAATAACTGAAAAAATCAATAAAATGAGAACAAGTGTGCCATTCTTATTTCCTCCAATTAATTACCAACATACTTGTATGAACCAACTTCAAAATAAATATATGAATTTTCATTAATTTATGACGTTTTATATAAGAAACTCGGCATTCATTAGACAGAACCATAACGTTCCACAAATTTAATACTTTGAAGTTTTTTTTTTTTTTTTCAACGCGTTTTTTTACAAATCATAATGTTTCTTGTCGTACAAATATTAATTTACATTTCCTTTCAAAAATAATTTCAACCAATCAAATGTTCAATTTCATTTCACGTTTTTGGAAATAAATTTCATGGATTAATCAAATGAATTGTCTAAAATTTGACATTACATACCTTGCTCTTCTATTTTGAAACCAAACTTCCACTTGCCTTGGTCTAAGATTCACTTGTGTTGCCAATGCCACCTTTTGCTTCTGAAAATTCAATCAAAATGTAAAAACATGAATTCAATATTAGTTGACTAATTTGGTAAAATATCATATATCCAAGAAGATATTGGAAAACATAATCGTGAGTATCGAGAATGGTGCTTCGTGCTATCTGCTATGTACACTCGTTCACACGTATGATGTGTGGTTATCATATACATATGTCAACCCCCAAAAAGGGCATTTTAAGCACATTCAAGTGTATCATACAAGCTTTGAAAACATGTTTAATTAGTTGATCTCAAAACGGCCGACGACAATAATATGAAGTTTTAGTTTTATGACGTACCAAACTACCAATGACCAAAATAAAATAAATTTATTAAATTACATAAAAATAAATTAAAGTATAATAAGAAAATAAAAAAGAGAGAAAAAAGGAGGAAAAAAACTGACTGTATTAAGGGTGGTATGTTCACTGAAAGCTTGTTCTAACACCAAGACTTGCTCCTTGCATAGCCTAAGCTTCTTCCTTTCAACACCAGAGCTTTCGCCACCGCCTCGGTTGCCACCCTCTTCGTCGTCGCTGATCATCTCTCTGTCTCCTCCAAACCTTTTTCCGGTGACACTTGATAAGGTGCTCTTTGGAGAGCCAACTTTGCCTGTTTTTTCATCTTCTTCCTCCAAATCTATTATTTCTACAGGTTGTTTTAAAACCAACCCCTTATTAATCCTTGGTATCATAGCCAATGTATTATTCAGTTTGTTCATTTGTGGGTTTTTTTCATCTGTAAAAATTAAAAAAAAAAAAAAAAAACAATAATACTTGTATGATTATTTTAACCATAACATTCAACGTTTAACACAAGAGGCAAGAGTGCAAGACTCCCAAGAGATGTACATATTCTATCTGTTCTTTAAAGTTTTTTTTTTTTTTTCCCGCTTTATTAAAAAAAAAAAAAATTGTTATCTTTAATTTTTATGCAGCATAAGCAAAAATTCCATCTAGCAATTTCTTCATGCAGTTTTTATTCTAGGATTAATTAAGGCATCAAAAACATTTAGAAGCACTATATATATATATATATATATATATATATATATATATATATATATATATATATATATATATATATATATATATAAACACTCTAGAATAAAGAAGAAAAAAATATAGAACAATTACACAAGAAAATTTTGATTCGTAATTATTTTTTTTTGACAGGATTAAATTATTAGAATTATTATATTATTATTTGCAAATAAAAGAGAATAATTTACCTATTGAAAATTGAGATTCTCTCTTACAAATAGGCTTATGATCAAGATTTGTGATTATTGGTGGTTTTAAGCTTAAACTCAAACCCCAAACCTCAAATTTGGCTTCTTCATTCATCTCTTTATCTCTCTAAACTTTCTCTCTCTAGTATTTTTTGTGTTTTGGTGTTGAGTGTTGTTACAAATACAGTAGGCAGCAAAAGGAGTTATATTTATAAACAAATGAGAAGAAGGGGGCAGCATTCAATTATGAGTCTAAATAGGCTCATTTTCTTAAGTTGTGTCCTATCCTATGTACTCTTGTTTTTGGGGTGTTTAAGTCATAAAGTAGATGTGGCTTATGTTTTCTCTACATATAAACCATTTTGGATTGTACGTAGACGGGATTCAATCTTAAGTCTTGAATACTACTCTTAAGACTTAATAGCTAGTCGTCGTCATTTATTGGCATATAATATAATCGCATAAGTTTGACCATCAGTAAATCAAGGAGTAACCGTAAATTAGTCAAACTTACATTATTGAACATATATATTGATATATTCGTATTAATGATACAATTAAATTTATTCCACATATATTGATTAAAATTAAAGCTTAATGATATAAGCGTTAGATAAAAAAATTCCTAAAATGGTACTTTGTACTTGTAAAATTTAAAAATTCAGGACAAAAACACTTGTGGATCGATGTGATTAATGTTTATTTATTCTTAATATTTCTTTTTTTAGCTTTCTATATGCAACTCTTACTATGTTTTATCGTTCTTAACATCGAATGTAATATATAAATAATGTCAAAAGTCAAATTAAAACAGCCAAAAACACGGATATCATCAAACATGTCACCTCTTTCATTCCCTTTCTCTTTGACTAATTACTTCATGATTGTAACTCATTTCCTATAATTACTTGCCATTATTTATCTGACAGTTTTTCTAAACCCATAATTAAGTCGAGTATAATAAAATATTATAACTTCGTTACCATGGTAACTTAGTAAGTACACTACGTACTTGGTACAAGTGATTAGTTAATTAATAGAAGTTCCTTTTTCTTTATTGGTTTTTGGAAACAGATGATATGAGTAATAATTTGGAGTTAATTTTTATTGTGTGAGAATGAAGGAGTCAAAATGAGTTAATTATTTTCAAAGTTGTAAGTTACCATGGTAATAGTAACTATGTACTAGCATTAGGTGCGAAAGATTAATGCTAATTTTCTTTATTCAAACTTTCAAAGCTACTATTAATAACCTTATTTTTGGTGATTTGATGAACTATATCTTAGGATATGGTTGAGAATTTGAGATTTTTCATGGGTTTGGTGTTTTTTTGCTAAATGGAACCTGGTTTTTTTGCTACTTGTGGATTTGAAATTTCTAGTACCCTCTATTCGGTGTGGGCTATATTTATAGAACTCAAAATTATACTTGACGGTAATGAATATTGTCTTGGAAAAATCTTCTTCTCTCTTCATTTGTTTAATACTCGTAATTATTGCTATGAACTTCGTTGAATATGCTTCATATATACCCCGTCCCTAGTATCGACCTTCTTTTCAAAATTAAATGCACATCAAACATATTAACTAAGCAATTATATGTCACATTTTATTTGTAGAGATAGTCTTGAATCTTGACCAATATCTGTTGTATAATCTATTTGTCATAAATGGTAATTAATAGTATATACAATGCTACTAATTTATTGTGTATAGAAATAATTATTAGACAAAATTCAACATGTTTTACGACATTAAAAAAATAGTACAGTGTTTTTTTTTAATGATAAATCAGTTCATTAATAGAAAGTCATACTACATCTATAAATGATATTCGAATTTAACAAATACCTAAAATATTGAATCAAAAAATTCCTTCATATAAACTAATTATATTTAACAAAATGCGATAGTTACATACATAGGGGGAGATTTCTATTGATCGGGATGTGGTTTTCCCATACTAACTCAACTCCAAAAAGAAATATTTTTGCAAGATGATAGGCAACAACATTTACCATCGCTATTAACATGAGACTAATTTAGCTTTTTGGTTATTACATACATTAAAATAGTTGATAAGTAACATTTATTTACTAAACACTTACACAATAACCAACGTGCCAAACCAACTAATATAACCAACTACATCAATTAGTTACCAAGCAATTAATTAATTACTAATCAATGGCAGTCAATTTGTTTTGATGATTCTATATGTGATTTTTTTTTTTTTTTATTATTGTCTTTTCAAAATCATTTAAGCTAATGATTATATGACAAAAAGAAAGGAAAAAAAACTTTCCTAAAAAAACCTTGTTTTTTCCTTTAAAATTACTCGTATTTTTTTGCTATACGTAAAAAAAAAAAAAAAAAAAAAAAAAAAAAAAAACGCTAGTATAGTGAGTGGTTTTGCGGAGGTTTATAGCAATTTTCAATTGGATAATTTTGAAACTTAGGGTTAAATTTAGGGTTGTTCATTCATTAATATTAGAGTTTTACAATAGTTCTTCTCAAAAGCGATTGAAACAAGCTCCACATAGCGACGTGGGTTACGAAAAAGAGGATGAATTCATGAAGTACCAAATTTTTTGACTAATTGTAGTTTTTATGTGGTATAATTTGCTGAATTGATATTTAATTTGTTGGGTTTTAGTGGTAATTTGTTTTGATTGGTTTTTGAATAACCTAGGTTAGTGGCCTGGAGACGAATTTGTGACAACGGATGATGATTCAGATGGAGAGAAAAATGAGTGATGGCGAAAGTGAGGACGTTACCGAAGGTAATGAAGAAGAAGGTGATCGATGATGTTGGTGTATTAAGTGCTGGAAAGAAGGATGATGAATGGAGGAACTTGAGAAAGAGTATATGGAACTTCAAAATATGGAGCAGTATGATTTCTTTTCTCGAAAAATTGGATGCTTAATTAGCTTGTTACTATTTTGAAATTTTAATTAATGTGAATATTGTATGTGGGTATAGATAGTAGTGAATCTTGTGATGCTTTTATATTGGTTTTGTATATACACGATTCTTATATCTTTTCTGCGTCTCTTTGTTTTTTATGCCCCTTTTTTGGTCCTATCTTTTGCATATTTGAGAAAGATTGTATTAGACTGTATGTAACTGACACGCATATGGTAAAGTTTGAAGTTTTGTATCAAATATTCTAGATATGATTTCAATGGCGAAATAGTCTAGTTAGACTTTTCCAATTAACCACTTTCAAAGAGGCTTCATCAATTTGCAATGGGGTGGTTTGTGGGTGGGATGGGTGTGTATGTGGGGGTGGGCAGGGGGAGGACTAACACTTCTTTAGAATAGTTATCTTTAGAAGACAATGGACCTGTATTGAGAATTGGCTTTTGCATATTTCTTATCTGCAATGGAGATCTTTATCAATCGAGACGTAGTATTTCCATACTTGCTCAACACTAAAAGGACCTATTTTTACGAGATGATTGGACAACGACATTTACTATCACTCTTGACATGAGACCAAAACAACTAGCTTTTTAGTTATTACATACACTAAAATAGTTAATAAGTAACAATTGTTTACTAAACACTTACACAACCAACTATTTAAAATCATTTAAGCTAATGATTGTATGACAACTTACACAACCAAATATTTAAAATCATCTAAGCTAATGATTGTATGACAAAAACAAAGGAAAAAAAAAAACTTTCCTAAAAAAACAAACTTGTTTTTTACTTTAAAATTACTCCGTATTTTTTACTGTACGTATCGAAAAAATAAGGCTAGTATAGTAAGGGGTTTTGCAGAGGTTTATCGTCTCTCCGACATTCTTCTTCAGTTGTCCGCCGCATATGTTTCTCTATCATTTCTAGCAATTGCTAGTTGGGTATTTTTGAATTGAAAACTTGGGATTGTAATCAGAGTTCTTTATCAATTTTAGGGTTTAAAAATGGGTTCTTTTCAAAATCGATTGATGAAACGAGTTTCGGAGTCTAATAGCGATATAGGTTATGAAGAATACGATGAATTTATGAACCATGTACCAAAATTCATGAATGATTATAGTTTTTATGTGGTATAATTTGTTGGCTTTTAGTCATGATTTGATTTGATTGGTTTTTGAATAACATTTTTTTTTTTTAAAAACATGGTTTTTGAATAACCTAGGTCCTAGGTTAGTAGATATGGTCGTTTCTAACATTTTGGAGGCCCGAAGCAAAATGATAATATTTTTGATAAATAAATCATTTGTGTTTATAATTTTAAATAATTATGTAATTGGTTAATTCATAAAAAAACCTTTATATAAATTGTAAATTACTTCATTTATTTTTTAAATTGCACCATTTAGACTTTTTTTTTTTTTTTTTTACTATTTTACACCTCCTTTAACCTTCTTTTGTGATTTATCAGTCTGGATAAATAAATAATCGAAGAAAGTATTAAATAGTTATATATGTAATAATATATTGTCTTCGTCTGTTTATTTCGTAATTTACAAATTTATTACTTCACTTTTCAAAGTTATTTGAATAGTCCAAAGATTGTATTAAATTTAATGACTTGTTTACCTAGTATATATATTTTGTTTGAATTTTG